ACCAAAAAAAAAAAAAAAAAAGCAAAAGATGTAGACCGACAAAGAATTTGACTAAAGTAAATTTCAACAGAGACCATTTTATTTGCTTTTTCCATTTAAAGGATGGATGCCAATGCTTTTGAAATTTGGATCCACAGGTTAGTCCAGAACTGTATGGAGACAATTACCCAAGATTTTTTACTTACTGGACCGTGAGTAACCCATCAACAAAACGCTCTCTGCTTTCTTCCATCCCTTACCTGCGTAACAAAATATGGGCTGATATTGAGATGAATTTTATGGCAGTCGGATGCATACCAAGCAACCGGGTGTTACAATTTGCTATGCTCGGGGTTTGTCCAGACAAACAACAAAATTGCAATTGGGGCTGCAATTTCTCCCACGTCTTCGTTTGACGGCGGTCAATTCGACATCAGCTTGTTGGTCTGGAAGGTGCAACGTTTGAATCCGCTTCTATCTCAACTTTTTCTTCCGACTTCTTAATAAATAAATAAATAAATAAATAAACAAATGGGTGTAGGATCCGAAGCATGGAAATTGGTGGCTGGAATTCGGGTCGGGAGTTTTGGTGGGGTACTGGCCGTCCTTCCTCTTCACCCATTTACAGGACCATGCAACAATGGTGCAATTCGGGGGAGAGGTGGTGAATTCAAGTCCGTCGGGATTCCACACCACTACAGAGATGGGGAGTGGGCATTTCGCCGGCGAGGGGTTCGGAAAAGCCTCCTACTTTCGGAACCTGCAGGTGGTGGATTGGGACAACAGCTTGGTTCCATTATCCAACTTGGTGGTTTTGGCGGACCATCCCAACTGCTACGACATTCAAGGTGGGATCAACACCGTTTGGGGAAACTACTTTTACTACGGTGGACCTGGTCGAAACGGGCGATGCCCTTGACACTACACAGGGCCAAAAGGGTAAATATACTTTTTATTTTATTTTTTCCTATTTTCTCTCTTAAATTATTCAAATTTATTCGTGGGGGTGATATACCGATTACCGATAAAGGGGTGTTGAATGTTTTTGGAAAATAGTCCTCTAATTTGGCGCCATTTTTTGTATCCCCATTTCCCTTTTTTTTCTTTTTGGTTATTATTACAAAATTTAGTAATTGGTGATGAATATTAATATCACCGCCTTCCTTAGGACTTTATATTTGTAAATTGCGGGCAAAGAAATAGCGATATTGATGGATTATAATTAAAAAAATATATGGCATGCAATTCAACCAAGTATATCTATCATACTTTATAATAATAGCCTCCACATCTTGTACGCAAAAGAAGAATCATAATAATAATAGTAATAATGTGTATAAAAAAATAGAGTAATGTATTGAAGTAGAAAATGATGAATGCTTGGTGCACAATCAATTGGGGATCTATCTTTGTCTCAAAGATAACATAATAGAGAAGTGCATGCCTTGTATTATTCTTCCACCATATTACAAGACATATCATAATTAAACTTCATGTGAAAAAAAGAAAGAAGAAAAGAAAGGGAGTGCAATTGACTGCATGATCATATGGAATAGGTTACACAAATTAATGTATAATATATAGTTTTGAATGCATGCATGCATATATTAAAAAGCTTGAAGAGAAATATTAGTTTCTTTGCAAGTGGGGTGCACTCTACACCTAAACATAATATTTTCAATTATTAAGTAAAATATGTACTGATTTTTGTAGAATTAAATGTTATGGGCCAACCGATCCATATGGGCCGATTTATAGGCACGTTGACAGCTGGCCCTTCTTGTTTACCAATACTGCTGCATTTATATATATTTTTTTGACACAAATACCCTTCCCTTTAATATATTTTATTGACAGGCCCATGTAATTGAAGGGTGGATTGAAAGCTTCCATTTTTTTGTTTTTGTTTTTTTTTTTTAGAAAAAACGAATCATAATCTTGTGCTAATTTGAATAAAAAGAATAATTAAATTTTAAATTGATTAAAAATCGCAAGAAATAAAATAGAGGGATGAAAATAATTATATGCGGACGCCGCGGAACGATTGGAAGACAATTAGGTTAAAAGAAAATATAAAAAGAAATTAGGAAAATAATTGAAAATAACTATGGTGAGGAGTTCCAGAACATTCATGTGTGAAGATCTTATACGCATCTAATTTTTGGGCATCCACTACACACGTGGCTTCTGTGCTACACATTTCCCCATCACAAAATTGCAATTTATTTACATTATCATACCTGATTGTTCTAGAAGTGGGACCCACCCTCCCATCCTCCCATTCATTTCATTTTTAAACTACCAACCATTAATGCTTCCTTTTTCATTTATTTTATTTCTTTTACAATAATCGTTTTCTGAATTACACGTTTTTTTTTTAATTGCCCAAAGAAAAATAAAAAGGAACGGAAAGATGGAAAACATGGAGTGGATAGAAGGGATAAGAATAGAGTTGGGAAGATTGGTCGGGTGAGGAAGCTTCCAGGTAGGATCCATTATTCAAACCCACAAATATATTTATATAGTTCCTTTGGGTGGACAATTTTAGAGGGGTCAGGAAATAATCCCTCTCGGAAATACGAGCTCCATTTAACCTCGCCTAAAAATTTGAGCTTTTTGGGGTCTCCTGTTGGGCCAAACGGACAGCTGATTGGTTAATAATCCGCATGTGAAATGGATAAAAGAAAAGCGAGAATATTGTGGGGGAAACCCTTTTTCTATTTTCTTTTTCTTTTTTGTTAGAGCAAAAAAAGA